AGTTCAAGACCAGCCTGGCCAACATGGCAAAATCTCGTCTCTACTAAAAATACAGAAAAAAAAAAAAATTAGCCAGGTGTGGCGGTACATGCCTATAGTCCCAGCTACTCTGGTGGCTGAGGCAGGAGAATCACTTGAACCCAGGAGGCAGAGGTTGCAGTGAGCCAAGATCGTGCCTCTGCACTCCAGCCTGGGTGACACAGTAAGACTCTGTCTCAAAAAAAAAAAAAAAAAGAAAAGAAAAGAAAAAAAAAATCTGAGCATAAGTAACTGTTAAAAGTTAAACCAGTTTCTCTACTGCAGAAAACAAAACTGTTAGTTCTATGACCACAAGAACTTTGTCTGTCTTGTTCACTGCTATCACACCCAAGGCTTGGCACCTAGTAGATACTAACTACTATAAATACTATTATTCTAATAAAAAAAAATCTATAAATTGTATATAGTCCAAGCTGGGTGTGGTGGCTCACACATGTAATCCCAGCACTTTGGGAAGCTGAGGGAGGTGGATCATTTGAGGTCAGGAGTTCGAGACCAGCCTGGCCAACATGGTGAAACCCCATCTCTACTAAAAATACAAAAAAAATTACCTGGGCATGGTAGCGCACACCTGTAATCTCAGCTACTCGGGAGGCTGAGGCAGGAGAATTGTATGAACCCAGGAGGGGGAAGTTGCAGTGAGCCAAAATGCACCACTGTGCTCCAGCCTAGGTGACAGAGTGAAACTCTGTCTTAAAAAAAAAAAAAAAACATTTTATACTGTATTTTTAAATTACAGTTTAATCCTATATCTTCTACCAATTGAATAAGTGCTGTATTAAACGTTCATTCATTCATTCAAATATTTGTGGAGTATGTACTATTTTCCAGGTACTATATTCTAGGCAATGGGAATGTAGCAATGGACAAAACAAAACCATCCTTGCTCTAATGAGAGGAACTGAACACACATCACACACACACACAAAGATGCTAAGAGTGATATGCCCTAAAATGAATATAAAAGCATAATAATGACATTTAGTGATAATAGGAAGTGGGAGTAATATTTTATATAGGATGGTCATGCAAGGTCTCTCTGTTTAGATGATGTTCAAATGAGAAAGTGAGCAAGGCAAGTAACCAAACAGTACTACTACAGACCCATGCAACAGTAAATCCAAAGACCTGAGGAGGGAGAGCACTAAGTGTATATGAGAAGATCAAGGCGGCCACCACGGCTGGAGTAAAGGAAGCAAAGGAAAGCATAACAGAACCAGCTGCAATAGATCCATAATTCATCTATAACAATTGTAACAGTACCTAATCATTAATGGAGTATTTCATACATGGATAATTTTTAAACTAATATGTGAAGGGGTAGAAATTTAGAAAAAAATCAAATTCATTACCTTGCAAAAATTCTCTGTTTTGGTATTTTCCCTTATATAACCAAAACTTCTGATTGTTCCAATAATGCAAACAAAACCCTGAAGTACAAGGTATTATTCTACAAGTTAAAAATACTACACATTACAAGAACTTTAATATCCATGAGTCTCATGTATGATACAACACCGACTTCCTTACAGAAAGCAGTGTCCTGCTCAGAAGATGTGAATATCTTTTGGACAAGTCTGCTGAGATATCCTTTGGACAAGACATCGAATGGAGCACTAGTGTTCAATTCTAAGAGTTACAAGTTAAGAGGAATGCAAACAAGTGTAATTCTAATTTTCTAATCATGTCCCTTTCTCTCTTACCTGACAATAACTTAGTACAGTATAAAAGAATTTAACTGCTCCCATATATGCCACAGTACCTATCACAGGTTAAGTCAAGACTTTTTTTTGGCTGGGCACAGTGGCTCACGCTGTAATCCCAGCACTTTGGGAGGCCAAGCACTTTAGGAGGCTAAGGCAGGCAGATTACCTGAGGTCAGGAGTTCAGGACCAGCCTGGCCAACATGTCTCTACTAAAAATACAAAAATTAGCTGGGCATGGTGGCAAGTGCCTGTAATCGCAGCTACTTGGGAGGTTGAGGCAGAATCACTTGAACCCAGGAGGCGGAGGTTACAGTTAGCCAAGACTGCGCCCCTACACTCCAGCCTGGCCAACAGAGGGAAACTCTGTCTCAAAAAAAAAAAAAAGATATTTTTCACACTAGTGTTTTTGGTTTCTAAATGCTAATTTATAAATAAGAATAGAAATAAAAAAGTTTCAATTAATAAAACATATCTATATTAGAGATGAAAGAATTACAGAGGGTTCTTATATTGGGGAGGAAGCCAGACGATAAGCAAAATAAAACCAAATTTCTTAGAAGGAATTTTAAAAGACAGGTTTTAATTTTTTTTAATAAAACAAAAAAGAAATATTGAGAAAACAAGTCTTAAAAAAAATTTTATACTCTATTTTTTTAATGTGCGTTTGAAAAATAAAGAACTTGCCTACAGTTATGTAAGCAATTAAAATAAAATGAATAAAACTGCAGCATTAAGCAAGCTGCATGTACACACGCCCACTCCCATTAGTAAAACTGGAAATGGGAAACTAATGAGCTCAGCTGCAGGAGCTTGTTTTTTAATTTTCTCCACTTGCTCAAAATGTAATTTCTATTTTACACTGAAGACTTTTGTTGGATATAGGGGGAATCAAATGTTCTTAAACAAGAATCTGAATGAGCTTTGAAAATGCATAATAGAAGCTTCATTTGTTCTAATGCACATCTCATGTATTCTGTTTAACATTTTTGACAGGTTGATCATTCGTCTTCATGTTTAAAGAACACAAATGTTTTACCAGTGCCATTAAACAGATCATGTTGGGGTGAAAAGAAGGTGTCAGAGAAGGGAAAAGGTCCATCTCTTCTCTCAAGGTGCCTAAGCAAATGGGAGGGGAAAAACATACTTACGTACTTGACCATGATATGTGAAGTTGTAATTCATTATGAAAGGAGAAATAAAGTAAAGCTCACTAATAGACATTTTATTAGGAAAGTTATTATTTGGAATAAAGAAATAAGTTATTTGAAAACTAAAAAATAGTCATCCAAATATTGAGATGACTATGGGAAAAAAAAAAACAAAAAACCCTCAAGGCTTAAAAAAAAAGAAGTTAAAAGGGTTATACAGAGAATGGATAAAGTAGCAAAGGTGACAAAATTAATGTCTCTTAAAAATCAGTTCATCATGTAAAGCAAGGAGCTAGATATCTAGAATACAAATATATTAGTATTCATTTTTGGTTTTGACTATATTTAGTACTGTTTGTTTTGCTCTGATTTGAGCTTGAATTTAATTAAACACAAAAAATTTATGAGAAATATTTTCATCAAATTCAACTGCAATTCTGGTTTAATTTTTAAAATATGTTCAGTTTTAGGTCTTACTTAAGAAAGAATATAAACTGGATTCCATGATAACAAATACTGCTGTAAGGGAAATCGCTAATAAAAAGTGCCAGACACCAGTTCAAAATCTAATAAATATTTATGACTTAATGCATGCTATCAAAAATAATCAAACAAAACTCTAACACAACAAAAGAACTAGAAAGTCCATTTGAATTTAATTTACAGGTCATGATCTAGAATTCAGACAAGTTGTTAGTGGCTAGGATATATAAACATTTTAGCAGGATTTTTTTAGCTCAACTAGAGTTAAAATTTGGAGACAAACCTACTAACACAATTTTAAAATATTTGTTCTGTTTACACTACAAATTTTTATTTGAAATAATAATATACCAGACATCCAGCGCTACCTAAAACAAACTGTGTCAGCAAGTGAACTTGTTTTTCCTCTCAAATGCACTCCATTTCCATTAATGATGACACTTATTAGGAGAGGTCTCTAGTCTTAAAAAACCTCAGTATCATTCGACTCTTCCTTTTCTCCCCCTCAACCTGTCCATTCCTAATTAATTGCTAAGTCCTAATATCCTTGACGTTTATACACTTCACTCCAGTCTTGTTATGAAGACCTTAGCTTCAACATTACACTTATTAGTCTCTTGCCATTGTACCCAAACTGGTTTCCCTGTCTCTCATTTCAATTATCTTAAAACCTCTTGCCAGATTAAAGCTCTAAAGAACAGATTATGTCACTCCCATCTCAAAAACTTCTAAGGTAGTCCTGCTGAATATAGAATGCAGATGTTCATGCTCATTAGCCCATCATTCAAAGTTCTTCTCAATACGGCATCAATCTACCTTTCCAACATCATATCCCATTATTCTCTTCTATGTCAATGTAAGGGTACCATTCCCCACAGTCAAAGAGAGCTAATTAATATTTCTTGTACCTGGCCTATGATTTCTCACTTAGTGTTTATGATTAATTCACTCCTTCTTCTTAAAATAATATTCTCCTCAATCAATTCATCCAATTACTGTTACTGTATGTTTAAGTGTTACCTCTTTTATGATGCCTTCCCTGATTCCCCACCTACGTGTAAACTCCACCTCCACTGAACATCCCTAGCACGTTTTAAATTTATTATATAATACCTTACACTTTATAACATAGCTCCTTATTTAGTGATCTTAACTTTCTTATTCGATTTCTTAAGGAGAAAATATCCATAAGCAGAAAACTTCTTAAGAGAAATTACCTCGAGAGCCATGCATATGGTCAACATTCATACATACGTTTAACACTTTTAAATAAATGGGCATACATATTATATTGATAAACAGGGATGAAAGCCAATAAAACAGTATGATGATAATATACTGAGTGGATAATACATTTCACTAATTGGGAGCTAGACTTTGATCTAAATTTTAAAAACTGGTATTATAAAGTAACTAGGTTTTCAAATCATATTAGATTACCAGTATTAATGCCAAAGCAGGAAAAAAAAAAAAAAAAATCAAACCCATAGGTTCTTGTAACTCAAACTCAAATACCAGGACATACTATTTATTCCACATATATATGAACAATTTTGTTTCCTAACTAAGCAAAGTTCACAAGAAAGTTGTCGACAGGATATTGAAATAATAGGAATTCTCTTACTTTGAGAAACCCTTGGAAATCTTTTACCCAGCTTCTTCCTTAATCGATTAAGTTCAGGAATTATTTCTGGAACAGCTACATAAAAGTCTACAACAATTTCATCATCCCAAATCTGAAAATAAAAAAAAAAGAAAGGTGACCTCAGATGAGATGAAAAGCTTTATCGTTCTGAAAAAGTACAACGTAGTCATTTCCTTTATAATTCAGAAAACAGACATTAAGCACAATTATTTTCTTCAAACACAAGGATCATACAAATACACCTGCCAATTATAAAAACCATCAGAAGCAAAACATTTTCCTTTACTTTAAAAACAGTCACATCCATTAAAAAAAAAAAAAATTAATGGCTTCTTCCTTTGGGTTGTGTTAGGCAAAAGTGTCACAAGTTAAAACACAGCAATGAATGTGTGCATGGCTCACAGAATCCCACAAAGTTAAATTCATATATTTATTAAAACTGAAGAAAACTACAAAAGCTGAAAATTTTGCAACAGATCACATGTAAAATTAATAACCACTAACTGCCAAACTCACTAGCAACCACTAACTTCCTAAATTTAGAGCATCAGAGAACTGAATTTATAATTATTTTCACAAAGAACTGAAACTAAAAATTTCCTTACCACCAATAACTAAGAATAAAAGAAGAGGGGGTGATCAAAGACGAGTTCATTTATAGTTTATTATCCATACTCTATATCCATTCTCAGAACAAAGGAATTAATATTCAATTTTTAGAAAACATTTTTATTAATTCAGGCAAGCGCCTAAAATAACTATTATACTAGTACAATATACTCCACTTAAACTCCACTTAATATACTTCACTTAAATATACAATATACTCCACTTAAACTCCACACCTGTAATCCCAGCACTTTGGGAGGTCAAGGCAGGCAAATCAATTGAGCTCAGGAGTTTGAAATTAGCCTGGGCAATAAGGCGAAACCCCGTCTCTACAAAAAATACAAAAATTAGCCGGGCGTGGTAGCACACATCTGTAGTCCCAGGTAACCAGAAGCTGAGGTGAGAGGATAGCTTGAAGCCAGGAAGGCAGAGGTTGCAGTAAGCCAAGATCGTGCCACTGCCTGAGCAAGAAATATTTTATCAATGATTCTCTTTGTATGAAATCTTACCACAATATGCCATTCAAAGCCTTGATTTAGGGGTACACAGTGAATTAAAAACTTGAATTCTGACAAAATTAAGCAATGACTATGGAATTTTATCCTTCTGTTACTATTCTTTGTACAAATTTTTAGTCCTTAATTAACATACTCTCCTCTCCTTAACAGTAACTTACATTAAATGGGCACTTCTCATGTGCCAAGCATTCTGCTAAACGTTTAATATAATTTAGAACATCCAGTCTTCACCACAACCCTTAAGACAGGTACCAATATTGACCACACATTCCAGATTAAAAAAACTGAGGGCTCAGGGGAGGATGAGTCAGTCTGTACACACCTAAGAGGCAAAGCTAGAACTGAAATACAGGCAGTGTAGGTCCAGAACCAGGGCTCTCATCACTGGAAATAGGAAAGCAGAGGTAATTTCTAAATGTCAAAGAACTGTATGTGAGATTTCTATTCCAAGACTTTCCAATCCTAATTCTATGACATGTTCCTTTAAATTATGTTTGGAAGTTATGCTGTAAGTAAGATTATATCTTGGAATATTAAAAAATGGTGGCTGGAAATCATGCTCTTAGAGACGAGTAAAAATATGAATTACTTTAAAATCACTCAGAACCAGGCATATCTGTGATGTTTCAAAATAAAGTAAAATAAATTTAATAAATGAATGTATTATCTAAGAAATTACTATGTGGCACGGTGGCTCACACCTGTAATCCCAGCACTTCGGGAGGCTGAGGCAGGTTGGATCGCCTGAGGTCAGGAGTTCGAGACCAGTGAGCCGAGACTGCGCCATTGCACTCCAGCCTGGGCAACAAGAGTGAAACTCCATCTCAAAAAGAAAAAAGAAAAGAAAAGAAAACAAATGACTATGTATATTTATCCTACTTGGCATTTTACAGAGCTAAGTAAAATGATACTTTAAAAACACAGGAATGTATAAAAAATTGCAGCCATAGTATTATTTACAAAACTGTATTAAATTTACTTCATAACCTGAATACCTTCTAAAAATAACATGGACTAGCTTTAAAAAGTCACCATGGGGTAACTTGCAAACTTATTCTATGATGCCGTACACAGGTGGCATGCTCTCTCTATTAACAGACCCTCTACTGGGGCCCTAAAGAGAAATTCTGTACCTGTTAATATTTTCAATACTACAGAATTTTAAAATGTCTTTGTCTTCCTTATTTGGGTTACTTTAAAAAATGTGTTTCATTTACTGAACTTACAGCTTCATCACTTTCTGCTCCATTACCATTTCTTTCTTGAGAAGAAAGAACTCCTTGCTTAACATTTAAGAACCAAAGGCCAGGTGTGGTGGCTTGGCTGGGAGCAGTGGCTCACGCCTATAATCCCAACACTTTGGGAGGCTGGGGTGGGCAGATCAGTTGAGGCCAGGAGTTCGAGACCAGCCTGGCCAATGTGGCAAAACTCCGTCTCTACTAAAAATACAAACATTAGCTGGGCATGCTGGCAGGCACCTGTAATCTCAGCTACTAGGGAGGCTGAGGCAGGAGAATCACTTGAACTCAGGAGGCAGAGGTTGCAGTGAGCCAAGATCACCCCACTGCACTCCAGCCTGGGTGATGAAACGACACTCTGTCTCAAAAGCCAAGGAAAGGGACTATAAAAAACAATCAAGCAGATTTAAAAAAAAAAAAAAAAAAAAAAAAAAGAACCAGAGGAGTGGCTATGACAGTTCTACAAGGTAACTTTTGTGGTTGCAAGAAGAAAATAGAAAGCTGTATACAAACTCAAGATTAGTTCTCTGATTCTAGACACCCAGCTCTATTCTCAAATTCCCAAACATTTGTGATGATTATTTTTTAATAATTAAAAAAGTTTTAATAATTTTTTAATTAAAATTAATAATACATCAAAAAGAACTGGGTACCACAGACTTTGGCCTAGAACCTGTATTAAAGCATACTCTTCCTACTTTCCACTAGTTCTGCAACCAAAAATCACTCTGAAGACCCTCTTTAAAAATCCAGAATCCTCACCAAATTTAGAGTACTTTTAGGGGAGGAAAAAAAAAACTATGAGCACTGCTGTATATCTCAAAGGATGTGTCCAGTTAAAAGTTCCCCAAATGAAAATTTGAATATGGGACAAAGGATAAATTTTCAAGTCACTATTTCCTATCTACTTCCTCCTCCCCAGAAAAAATTCCATAACATATAGGAATGCTTCTGATTTTTGCACATTGATTTTGTATCCTGAGACTGCTGAAGTTGCTTATCAGCTTAAGGAGATTCCGGTGGAGTTTTCTAAATACTCAATCATGTCATCTGCAAACAGGGACAATTTAACTTCCTCTTCTCCTAACTGAATACCCTTTATTTCTTTATCCTGCCTGATTGCCCTGGCCAGAACTTCTGCCCTGGCCAGAACACTGTTGAATAGGAGTGGTGAAAGAGGGCATCCCTGTCTTGTGCCAGTTTTCAAAGGGAATGCTTCCAGGTTTTGCCCATTCAGTATGATATTGGCTGTAGGTTTGTCATAAATAGCTCTTATTATTTTGAGATACATCCCATGAATACCTAGTTTATTGAGAGATTTTAGCATGAAGCGCTGTTGAATTTTGTCAAAGGCCTTTTCTGCATCTATTGAGATAATCATGTGGTTTTTGTCTTTGGTTCTCTTTATATGCTGGATTACGTTTATTGATTTGCGTATGTTGAACCAGCCTTGCATCCCAGGGATGAAGCCCACTTGATCATGGTGGATAAGCTTTTTGATGTGCTGCTGGATTCGGTTTGCCAGTATTTTATTGGATTTTTGCATCGATGTTCATCAGGGATATTGGTCTAAAGTTCTCTTTTTTTGTTGTGTCTCTGCCAGGCTTTGGTATCAGGATGATGCTGGCCTCATAAAATGAGTTAGGGAGGATTCCCTCTTTTTCTATTGATCAGAATTGTTTCAGAAGGAATGGTACCAGCTCCTTTGTACCTCTGGCAGAATTCGGCTGTGAATTCGTCTGGTCCTGGACTCTTTTTGGTTGACAGGCTATTAATTATTGCCTCAATTTCAGAGCCTATTATTGGTCTATTCAGGGATTCAATTTCTTCCTGGTTTAGTCTTGGGAGGGTGTGTCTAGGAATTTATCCATTTCTTTCAGATTTTCTAGTTTATTTGTGTAGAGGTGTTTATAGTATTCTCTGATGGTAGTCTGTATTTCTGTGGGATTGGTGGCGATATCCTCTTTATCATTTTTTATTGTGTCTATTTGATTCTTCTCTCTTTTCTTCTTTATTAGTCTTGCTAGAGGTCTATCAATTTTGTTTATTTTTTCAAAAAACCAGTTCCTGGATTCACTGATTTTTTTGAAGGGTTTTTTGTGTCTCCATCTCCTTCAGTTCTGCTCTGATCTTAGTTATTTCTTGCCGTCTGCTAGCTTTCGAATGTGTTTTGCTCTTGCTTCTCTAGTTCTTTTAATTATGATGTTAGGGTGTCAATTTTAGATCTGTCCTGCTTTCTCTTGTGGGCATTTAGTGCTATAAATTTCCCCCTACACACTGCTTTAAATGTGTCCCAGAGATTCTGGTATGTTGTGTCTTTGTTGTCATAGGTTTCGTAGAACATCTTTATTTCTGCCTTCATTTCGTTAGGTACCCAGTAGTCATTCAGGAGCAGGTTGTTCAGTTTCCATGTAGTTGAGCGGTTTTGAGTGAGTATCTCAATCCTGAGTTCTAGTTTGATTGCACTGTGGTCTGAGAGACAGTTTGTTATAATTTCTGTTCTTGTACACTTGCTGAGGAGTGCTTTACTTCCAACTATGTGGTCAATTTTGGAATAAGTGTGATGTGGTGCTGAGAAGAATATATATTCTGTTGATTTGGGGTGGAGAGTTCTGTAGATGTCTATTAGGTCCACTTGCTGCAGAGCTGAGTTCAACTCCTGGATATTCTTGCTAACTTTCTGTCTCGTTGATCTGTCTAATGTTAACAGTGGGTTGTTAAAGTCT